CAGTGCTGCCTAACACGCAGCCCACGGGAAGGCTGACAGTGCCCCATCATCTTCACTTGTTGGCAGCTTTGAATGCCCATGGCAGCGCTGGTTAGGTGAAGTGCTCACAGAGCACTGTGTGAACACAGTGGGATCCTGGGGATGCAGATGGGTGCAGCTGGCTCCCTGCCCTTCTGCAGGGCAGAGGATGCCAACACTGATCCTAACTCAGCAGCAGAGGGACACCAGATACGGGCATTAAGGTGTACTACTCCTTTACACAGCGTGGTCAGCCCACTGCTGTAGTTGGCTTTAAATAACACTGTGCACTGTGTGATGGATGTTGACAAAACAAAATAACCCTATAATTAAAAAAGACCCAAACCCTGAACCGACATCGCCAATGAAAGATACAGAAATGAAAACACGAGCCTGGCTGCTACGGGCTCTCCGTGGTCCAGATTTACAACAAACCTATAATTCTGCAGCCTAATAAGATCAAGTTGCTGGCAAAAGGGGGAGGGGAGAGGAAAGCAAGCCTGCGCTTTGCGGAGGGGAGGAAGGAGGCCGCTGAAAATGCTGATATTTACTTAGCGTACGCGCTGTCCTTGTACAGCGCTCCGTCACGGCGCAGCCCGAAGCTCCGCGCACACAACAGCTGAGGGCACGTGCGCAATGTTCTGCAGCAGCCCGAACCGAGCGCGCAGCGCTGCGAGCCGCGCGGTGCTCCCGGCCTCGGGTTGGGCTCCCGTCGCGAGGCCGTGCGGTGCTGCCCGAGAACCGCGGTTCCTCTCAGACAAAGGATTTCTCACAATGCTTTACCTCGGGATCCCCAGGACACCTTTGCAAACGTGTTTACCGTTTATACGTAACTTATTTACTTTTACAGACGTTCGCGCATCTGTGCGGCGCGCAACACCTCCCCATCGGGGAGCTTCCCTTCAGGCGTCGGAGCAAAGCTGACACGCCACGATCACCCCCGCCTCAGGGCCGCCCCCCGCCGGGAGCAGAACGCCCCGCCCCGCTGCCCTCGGAGCGCCCACCCGCGCCGCACCTACCGTCGGGATCCGCCGCGAACGGCCGCGTCGGTTTAACGAGGTGTGCAGCAGCCTCTAGCGGCGGAGGGCGGGCGCTGCGGGAGCCGCGGCGGGTCGGGGGGTTCCGTCGAGGCGAGCGGCGCTGGGGCAGCCCGGCTCCCCTCAACCGCTTCCTACAGCGCCAGGCGCGCGCGTGGTGCGCGGCTGCACGGCGCCTCGTGCGCGGAGCGCAGCGCGCGACTCGAGCAATGCACGAGGCGGAACCTGAGCGCTTTGCTGCTGCGGCCGTCGGGGAGCAGCCCTGCAGCGAGCATGCCCTGCTTCCGAGGGGACGCGTTCCGTCGTCTTTTCCTCGCTTCCTTCTGTTTGAGGTCTGACGCGGACCGGGCAGCCCTTAGGCAGCAGGAGCTCTGCTGTGCTGGAGAACCTCCCTCCTCATCCCCTCTTTATATTGCAGACCCCCAGCTGAGCTCTGATGAAGGCCCCCACACAACCCCGTCGTGGCCATCACCTGATGGCACTTTGTGAGGGGTTTCATCCGACAGGGTGGGGTTTGTGTGTGCAAAAGTGGATCCAGGCTGCCGCGTTCCTCTGCTGTAGAAGGGCAGGCGGCTTTCCTGAAACAAAGACACGAGGACACGCAGTGAGCAGAGCCCGCAGATCCTTCCTGTCAGCCCCCGTTACCTGCTGACTGTGAGCAACACGATGAGTGATTTAATGCTGTTTGGACATCGGATGAATGCCCATTAAGGGGAGACCCACAGTGATGCTGTTCCCGCCCCCCCCCCCCCAAAAAAAAAACCAAAAACAAACTCCCCTTTCAGATAAGAACGTTGGCAAGTCTGATTCACCGTGTTTGACAACGGCCATCTAATTTGCACTCACCTACTGCAGGGAAGATTGGAGAGCTGTTAATTAGAGCTCCCTAGCACATGTTGCAGAAGCACAGCTGCTGGCCTTGGGTTGGATGCACCCTGCAGGTTCCCCAGCCAGGCCAGGTGCCCTCGGCTCCTGCAGGGTTTGCTCCCTTCCTCATGCCTCTTTTGTACCTCAGTTACATTCACTCTGTAACCCCTCCCTCGGTGCCTACAGACCCCCCCCATAGACTCCCCAACCTCCCTGCTCACAGCCAGGGCAACAGAAACCAAAGCATCCTCAGAGCAGCTGTGTGCACCACCAGCTCAGAGCTCCACCAGGCACTTCCATGTCCCACACTCATCACTTCCCCTCCGTGTTATCTTGACTGTATTACACCCAACCTTCGCTGCCACTGCACAAGTTGTATCTCTTGGCTCTCCCCGGCTCATGATTTGCACAAACTCCTCACAAACCCTCCATCACTTTTCTCCTGTTACTGGTCCGGCTTCCAATTTCTGAATCTTTGATGGTTCCCCTTAATTACATTCATGACTTCTACTTCTCTACTGCAGTCCCAGATGATGATGCACATCGGCCACTCAGCCACACGAGGTACCTTCTGCCCCACCAATTTTAATTCCTGGAAAGCCTTGCTCAGACCTCTGGACACGACACTTGCAGGAACCTCTCCATTACTGGTCTTCAAAGAGGTTCTCATTTCCCGCAACAGTTTTTCCTGCTTTCTGCTGACTCAGGTGAAAATCCTGAGGGAGGGCTGACATGGACCGCATGCTTTCAGGGTCTTTCAGTGCTCTAATTTCTCCATCACCTCTGCTCAGTTTCCTTCAATATTTCTTCTTTATGCAAAAGGAAATTTATCTTTCATTCTGGCACCTGCCCTGCCATCTGCCTTTGTGAACACGAAGGAAAACTGTCACTGATTTTTTTTTTTTTTTAAACAATGTCCATCAATAAATAACCCTCAGCAGCTTTTAGAGTCTTTCCATCGCTGATCTATTATTCCTTTGGCCCATGCAACATTTCTTATTATTTATTATAACCTTTTTCACTGTCTTCCCTCCATTTCCCACCACTGCTTGTCTTGTCAACTCTTTTACTCCTTGGTTCGTTCTGCATTTGCAGCTTCAGGACCCAGTATTATCACATCCTTGTTCACACAGGCAGGGCTGCAGGAGCTCCCAGGAAGGCAATACACCACTTAAGAGGGAGAATTCAAAGGGTGGCAGAACTGAAAAAAAAAAATAGAATGGAATTACAAGTATATGGCAATTACAAGTATATGACACATAAGAGGGAGGGCAGCAAAGACCTTGTGCTGATTGTGAATATTGCTGACCGTTTCACACCAAGCCTATGTATCACGCTTTAATTCATGCATTCCCCTTTAAACCGACCCTTAGATATTTCCCCTTCTTTCCATTTTATTCTGATTTGAAAATCCATTGAACTTTCCACTGCTTTTTCCCAACCAGAAAAAAAAATTCTCCATTCCCTTTCCTGAAACTCAGTTTATTTTTAGTGACAGTGGTCACCAACTGCAGAAAGGGAGGGCTGTTGGTTGTTTTATTGCCAGTCTTTTCAATGCTGTTCTCACCCACAGTTCCATGTGGGTCATCTCTGGCTGTTAATAGTTGCATCCACCTTAACTCCTACAAGAGCAAGTGCAAAAAAGCCAGAGCCCTGCGGGTCAAAGCAGAATTGTTCCTTATATACAGGGAGCATTTAACTGTCGTGCAGTTCCTGCCCGTTTTTGTGTCCCCGTTATTAATCGGTTTCCCTACTCATCCCCACTGCTATACTCACCCCAGCTCCAGTCTGGGTGCTCCATGGGACAAGGGAACCAATAAAAAGGCATTTGTGAAAATGACCGTTTCAGGGGAGATAAAATATCATTATGTGAAATGGATTTGCTGGCACTCCTCCCCAAATTTAGCACCTATTAAATTATAGAAACCATTATTCCTCTTACCCAGAAAAGTCTGAAACTTTCTCTAAAAGATGTATTTTATTATTTTAAGTGGGGCTTAAGTGTATTTTTTCCTTGTGATAAATTTCCACAATATGAATTTTCTTAGAGATACAACAGTCTTGTTCGACTGAGTTTATTGCTCAAATAGGACAACAGCACTCCCTTCTTACACTGAAGGAATATTTCCCCTCTGAAACGAGGTGTTTGGAATTTAGGTAGCTGGGTTTTCACATGGCAAGCCTTTAAGCAGCAAATATTGTCGCTGCTTAACCATACAAAATGATACAGATTCTTTTATTAACAGGGCAAGTGCTGAAGAACATCAAGTGCTTTTATGAAAAAAAAAGAAAAAAAATCAATCATAGAAAGGACCACAATGATCATCTAGTTTCAATCCCCCCTGCTGTGTGCAGATCACCAACCAGCAGCCCAGGCTGCCCAGAGCCACATCCAGCCTGGCCTTGAATGCCTCCAGGGATGGGGCATCCACAGCCTCCTTGGGCAACCTGTGCCAGTGCATAAAAATACTGCTGTGCTTCCCAAGCACAACATAAGTAAACTCTGTCCCTGTGCTCTACCACGACGTTTGCTAAGCTCTGACTTCTCACCAGCCTTGTATGCTGTACCAGCATGGACGGTCCATGCAGGATGGGCTGAATGGAGTTGTAGGAAAGGGCCTTTTTTCCTCGGGTGTGTGCTTTGGGAGGACGGGAGGCTGAAGGAACAGAAGTGTTGTCTGAGTCTCTAATCAAACTTCTCCCGGCCAGCTGTGAGAGGCCAAACTAATTAAACAGAACATCAACCCACTGAGGGAGTCAGGCGTGGGGAAAACATTGCCTGGAGAAAACAGAGTGGGTTGGAAAAGCAGGTGCCTCACAAAGGATGGAAGTGTGACCTTGCAGGACAGAACTGAAATGTGCTCATGGGAATACTTTGTGTAGGTGCCTACAGAGGTTTGGAGCAGATGTTGCCATATTCTTACATGCAGGAGGCAAATGAGGAGCAGAAAGATGAGAAAGACCGGTCCCATTTGATCACCGAGCATAGCAAGAGTGGAAGAGAGTGGATGCACCTCTGCAAACAGTTTTTTTCCTCTTCCTTTTTTAACATGAAGAAACTTCGAAACACCTGCAGCGGGAAACAAAAGGTTAATTAAAAAGAACCCCAGTCTTTGCACTAAACTGATTGCTGGGACTCCTGCCAGCCTGGGAAGGTTAAAGAGCTCAAGCATGCGTGGGCTGTGGGGGGAATGGCTAAAATTTACAGCCAGCTCCCTGGAAAGTCACAGTTCAGCTGTTCTCCCGGAGCAGGTGCTCATGGGAGCGGGCCTGTCCCTTTCAAAGCGTGAAGATTGATGAAGCCTTCGCTCTCACCAACTGTAAATATACAACCAGCCTTGTCAGAGCAGGTTTGTAACATCACTTGCTGACAGCAAGAAATTTTTTTTAACCTCCTAAACACACACACACACACGCTTACCCCACACAGACTCACACACACACACAAGTGCTAAAAAATAAAAATAGGCTATTCCCAGGAAACACAGAAAGGCAATAAATAAAATGATGGGAAAGGCATTTATGTTTTCCCTGCCCGGAGAGGCAATAGACAGAGGACATGCACGGGGTGATTTCATCCTGTCCTGGAAAACAAGCAACATCTTCCTTGGGCTGTGCAGTTTATGGCCAAGTCCTGCGCGGGGCTCAGGCACTTCACAAGAGCCAACACCGCAGCCTGGTGGGCTTAAATCACTGCAGCACTGTGCTGCCAGCCGCCCTCCGTGGAGATGGAGAACAAGCAATTGTAAGAGAAGATACTGCTAAAATAACCATTTTACACTGCCCTGGTGCCTACTTCCTGAGGACTTCATAACGTGTTACAGATAGAAATTACTTATTCTTTGCAGCCCCACAGGAGGATCTTTAGAAAGTTGGACACAGACGTGTTTAGATTGGGATTTTCAAAGTTTTTTGGAGCATCCCTCTGAGCCTGGGGAACCACACAGACTGTGAATGGGCTTCAGTGACTGAACTCCTTGGATGATTGGAAGCAGAATTAGTATTCGTGTATGAGTTTATTGTCCTGCCCCAGAATTCATTTTTAGCATTGCAGTCGCCTGAACTAAAATAACTCCGCAGCGCCCTTTTCTCTTTTCTTTCCCAAGGAAATTCCTTCTGTGTTATCATTTTCTCTACAGCAAAATTTCGGGCTAATAGAAAACGTTGAGCAGGTTTCTTTTGTTTGGCATTGCCTTAGCAGAGTGGAGGGATTACACTGGTTGCTTTAGGAAGCATCAGCCCAGTCTGTCTGCCAGCAAATTCTACCTTGGAAATTCATCAGCTTTTGTTTGGTGAGGTTTTTTGCCCGTTTGGTGGGGCACTGGCTTTTGGATTTGCTCCACTGCTTCTGTTCTGTTACTTCCTTCTGCTTTTATTAATAGAATAGCACACGACTCCCTGCTCCTCAGACTCCATGATCTATCCCACTGTGCTTTCAGGCAAAAACAGGCCTCCAATGCTTTGCTCACACTTTCAAAAAGCCTTGTTATCTCTTTCTATGAGACAAAGAAGTTTCTACGTCTCCAACATGAAGCTCCAACAGGCCTTGCTTGCACATAGACCTGTCCACCATACATTTCATTTGCATTTCTTTCGAGGTGCTTCAAGAATGAACACACCTTCAAAAACACCACGCAACTCGCTGTTTGCAAACTGCCACATTCTTCCTTTGCTCGTGTTACATCCGTCTCTCAAATTCTCCGCCTGACGTGGCTGTTAGAATTGCTAACGCTCTGTGATGAGGACTGCTGCTGTCATTTCGGCTGTGTTTACCCAGTGCCCCTCACAGCAGGGCCCTCACACTACAGCATATGCTAATAAATAACAGGAGAACAAGATACTTCCCTCTTTGTGGCAGCAGAATTGTAACAATCCTGATGAATACGCCAAGGACTGGGAATGTTTCCAGAAGCTGTAAGGGAAGAAGCAGTAATTTATTGCAGGTGCTAAAAATACATCATATACCTGTGAATACAGGTGACCATCACTTGCTCAGGCAACCAGTGCTGTCCTTGGAGAGGGAAGACCACGAAGGTGTCTTTCCACCGTAGAGCAGCAAACAGCAAAGTCCTCCCCAAGTTCTGGGGGGCAGGAACTGACGCATGCTTGCATTTTACTCCACAACAGAGATGAAAAGCAAAGGTGGCCTGAAATACAATTAAACGTTCTAATAATTAAATAATATCCTATTTGGGTTTCTGGATGGATGCAAAATGTTGTAAGTAATTTTTTCTGTCAGGTTCATTATTACCCTTACACTTCATACGGCATTGCCACATTCCTCCTGTTTAATTTTGCTCATCCCTTCAGCAAAGTCCCCGCTCTGGTACATCCCTGGTTATGTGCCTGATCCTGCCCCATCTCTGTCTCCCCTGCACCCACTGGCACTCTCTGCCACTCCACAGCCACTGAAGCAGAAGGGCTGGGGCTCTGCCCTCCAGGGCAGCCAGGTGCTGGGGAGGCACAGACCCCTTTGCACATGTGTATAAGTGGAATCAGCTGTCCTGCTGTCAGAGCTCCCCAAGTTTCCAGGGCTCCTGATCAAGCCGCATTCCCTGAGTTATTCACAGATGCTTTCTCAGGAGCCTAAATGGATCAAGGTTTTTTTATGGCTAATAGGGCAGCTCCAGTTTCCGTCAGCTGAGGACGAGGCCAAACAACTTGCTTTCATTAGCTCATTTATTTTTGCCAAGAGGGCAGGCAAGGCATCCCATCCCATCCCCCATGAAACTCCCAGTTCAGACTTTGTATGGCAAAGAGGAGGAACCAAAGCAGCAAGCATGCCCGCTCAGCTCCAGTTCTCCCAGCCCTCCCACCCCACCCAGGGAAACATGAAGCATTACAAACTCTGGCAGCTGGGAGCATCTGATTATTTGTATGGAAATTTGCTCCAAGTTGAGAAGTGGATCAATGACTATTTCTCAAGCTGGCTCCATTTTGAGAACCAAAATTGACTTCTGGAGAAGCTGCTTGATTTCCCAGCTCTCCCCCACCAGAAAACAGATTATTGCATAGGGCAGGGGTGATATAATTCAACTCCAAATAGGTTTGGGGCCTATTAGACCCAAATATAAAACTCACCGAGGCTCCAAGGAAAAGAGAATTGCTCCGTGCTTTACTCTTCCTTGCCAGGCCCTTACTCCTATCTCTGTTTGGTGTAAATCCATTTGCTTATATTCAGCACTCCACACAGATGGAAATGGCAGCTCAGGACACAACACAGGAGAGGCTCATTTCGAGCAATTTAGTTCTCCTCCTTTCCCAGCTCCCCAGTTTGCCCTATTTCCATTACCCAGCCGCGCCACCTCTGCTGTGTATATAGCATCACTGTCTGCCCACATCTCTCCTTGTTCTTTTTTTTTACCCTTGAAAACACTTTTCTTCTACTTTCAGGCCTTTCCCTTCTATGTCCCACATCTCTGGGTACACCCACCGCACACCCCCAGTGTCAGCAGCCTCCCTTCCCCTGCCCAGGAACTGTGGGTGCTCTTTTGTCACTGTGTTTAAATCTGAAGAAATTTGGTTCACCTTTCACTATGTAGCCTCACCCCTCATACCATTCGGAGTGAGCTTTAATTGAACATTCTGATTATAAGAGGCCACGTGGTGTTGAAGCCTTCTTTTCACAGCTGAGAGATGTGCCAAACACACAAACCCTGCTCAGCCTGGGACAAGCAGCACCTTTCCAATCTGTCCTCAAAGGGGAAATGATGACTTTCCCTTCTTCCCCCCTTCCCTCTCAGCCTGGCCTCTCCCAGGATCAGGATCAGCCTGCAGAACACATTGTGCTGCAGGAGCTGTTTGCTCTCGCCACGGCTCTATGGAAGATTTATCTTGACCTGTGCCTCTCTCTGCTCCATCCCAGCCCAGGGCAGAGTCCCCCTTCCCAGAGCCAGGTGTAACAGCAATACCCTCCTTCCAGTTTGTCACTTAAAGCACTCAGGGGCAGCAGAGGTAACACAGATCCATGCTGTTGATGCACGGTCCTGGCTGCAGGTTAGCACAGTGCAGTGCTTTCTGCTAGGCCTCCATAAAGAGGCTTTTAATTTAGCTCTAATAGGGAGGTGATTGTATGTTAAATAAATACTAATTGATTATTTAATATATATGCGTTGAGGGTTAACTGCTATGTAATGAGCTCCTCTCCATTAGTGGGGCTGCTAAACGTCAATTAATATGGGTTTTATAATCAATTGATATTTCACATGCCCTAACTTGCCTGTTTAGACTTAATGGATCAGCATTTCTGAAGTGGCCAATGCCAATAGATTCTTTATAAAATGAAAACATATTTGTTGGCAGATTTAGCACAGAGTAGAAAGTCATGGAACTACGAAAAGCTCAGCCAACCAGCTCTGCAAAGCTGGGCACAGTGGAGCCAGTCTGCCTGATACCAAGAGCTGCACACAGCAGAAAGCTCTGCAGAGGGGAGCGGGACGCAGCCACCCTTCAGGTCCCACATAAGCTGCTCTTACTGCCCATTTGCACCTGGATGTGTGCTGGAGATGTGAGAGGCAGCACCCCATTTGGAACGGACTGTCAGATGGCTTAGGGACAAGATCTTCAAGAATGACCAGGGGATTTGAACACGTGGCTTCCATTTATTTTCATCAGCATCATGTCTCTGCATCTCCCAGCTGCCTTTTTGAATGTCTAGCGGCTTAGATTTTATTCTCTTTACCTCTTCTCCCCAAACACATACAAATCAATTACATGCAAGCTGTTTCTGGTATAGGCCAGGGAGAAAACAAGGAAGTTTCTAATGAAAGGAATGATCATAATTCATTTATGACCATTATCAAACACTATTTCTTCTCTAATTTCCTTACTGGCAGTTTTCCTGATGCAGCAGGGTTTCACTCAGCTTGCCAAAAACTCAGGCTGGAGGAGAAAGCACACAGAAGGACACGCACCTCACTGCCACCTGTGAGCATCACTTTGGGTTTGCCCCCATCTCCGTATGCTCATTCTGGTATGCAACAGCACTCATTAAAGGGAACCTGATTGCTCTTGCTGCTGTGCAAAGCCGCTCACCTCACCTACCCTGGAAAAAGGCCAGTTCCCACAAACTGCCTCACAGCCCAAAGCCTGGGTGAGACAAGGTGTTCATCTCCTACACACGGTAGGTTTTGTAAAACCCACGGATGTTTTAAGTGATAAAAGACAGTGACCAAGCAGGGAAATGCAGGGCAGCACCTTCTCTTACCGCATCTATACGGCGCTAAGACAATGGGGCTTAAAGCATCATTGCAGCCTTCAGGCAGTGTTATGATGCAGATAATAAAGATGAAGAAAGAACAAAGAGGAATGTGTGGCCAGCCCATGGTTTGAAGTCTCCAGGCTGATTTATGTCATCTGAGGATCTGGCCCAGTTAAATCTAATTTTAACATCCTTGACAAATTCGCTTTAACGGCAAACTGTCAAAAGGGAACCTTTTCTCCTCCCCTCATCCTTCCATCTCCATGAGCTGTTCCCTGTGACAACACTGTTCTCGAGCTGTAATTGGCAGTATCATTCCATTATCACTTATTCTTTAGGCCTGAGGATTTCATTCCTTGCAATTTTCCTGTTGTACAAATTCACGTCTATTATTTTACCACACGTGCATGCATCCATTCCCTGCGTGTGTGTGCTGCGTGCCTGTGTGTGTCAGGGCAGGAAAACTGCTTAAATCTGAAAGGGCCATTGTCTTATAGACCATCTGAAGGAAGCAAAAGAGCTAATTACTGGTGACAGGTAGTTATGATTCTATGACTTGCAGTAGGAGGTGTCTGGCACCCTCAGCAAACAGTCTAAATTCTCCTTATAAGCATTTTAAATGGACGATTATCCTAATGAACTTAATAGCATCGCTATCCAAGGACAGCATCAACTCATTGCCATCCTATATTTTCCAGAAATAGCTTCTCTTTAAACAGTGTGCCCCTGCTTTGAACAGTAATGGTTTTTAAAAGTGTCTTAGCACACAAAAGCAAAATCTTTTTTGAAACAGGGTGGAATTGGTTGGTGATTATCACTGAAAAGCTGGCAGCCACCAGCTAACCTTCTAACAATGAAATATGGGAATTTACCTTCATGCTTCAATGCTTGCTATTCAGCTGTCTACCAGGGTCTAAATCAATGATTCTACACCCTCCACTCAAGGTTTCTCTTTCAAATGCTGCAGATATGACCTTAAGTTCATCATCTAAACAATGCAGTTCACGTTTAATTTCATTAATCTAAGATCTTCCATAAAATTGCAATATGGCACCATACCTTTCAAGTACCTTCATTAAAATCCATGTTATTTCTAAATCCTATGCATATCTATGAGGTCATACGGTGTTTTATTAGAATGGATTTTTGAAAGGCTCAGCTCTTTTATCACCAATTGTCATAAGGTAGTTTACAATAAATTAAAAAAGAAACAAAAGAACCCCTCCACACGATCTCATTCCTACCACTTAGGTGGTAAACAGATCTCCCATTTCTGAAAGTTACCCCCTTTCCTAATTTTTACCCTCTTTCTGAGGATTTAACAATTGCAGGAAAGAGAAGGAAATTTTCAAACCCTCCTGACTCATGAATTTCTGCTACTTGCTGTGCCCAGTGCAGCTCCCTTGCTGAAATGTTTTTTCATTTAGATCCAAGGGCCATTATTTTCAAGCTTTGTCCCTATATGTCTACGTGGCACCATGTTTTCAAACCACACGCTGGATTTTTTACTGTTCTTGGAGTAATATATTGGCACAAGCTCATTCTTCTGCCGCATTCCTTCCCTGCTCTCTTATCTATTTCACAGATTATTTGGTATTGTAATAGTACATTGCAGGGCTATTGAGGAGCAGGGACCTCCATGATAACAGATGCCAAGAACACAAAGGACAGATCGTGCACCATGAACCCACAGCCCTCAGCGCTCCCCATCC